TCCACATGACGGGCATATCAGACAATGAAGTACATCAACAGGTTTGCAGATAAAAATTTGTTAATGACGTGTTTTGTCATTTTACGTTTTTCTTAAGTTTTTTTCTTTGCATGTGTGACATTTTATTTATCTGTACTGTCACATTTTGTTTGCTTTAACCGTCATAAGAATTTGAAGAACCTTTAAATGACGCTCTTTAAAATAGACTTTAAAAATCTTGAAACATTTCCAATTAGTTCACACAAACCTAATAGGCTAAAGAACAATTGGTGAAATTCAAACTATTTATTTTTATTTTTACAGCGTATATACCCAGGTGTACAGCGCATTTGAATGACAGGTAATATGTCCATATTTACTTCTGACTTACATGTTCCTAGGTAGCTATTGAAATAACACACAAAAGAATGCGTGATTCATTACTGTCTTTCATTATTTAGAGTTTTAGGGGTTTTTTTCATTTCCTTTTATGATAGTCATTCCAGTTTTGAAAAAAAAATAACATGCAGCTTACATCACACGTTTGAATACCTTCATACTACGGATTTTGCATAGCTAGTGTGAACTCATGGTGTTTGTAAGACCTGATAGTATTATACCGGACAACTTTCCTTTCCATGTAGCTCTTTTTCGAGACTTAACAGTTACCAGCTTACTGTTTTTCATTCAGAATTTCTCTGGAAAAAAAAAAAACATTTTTGAGTGTTCCTTAGTCGCACCTACCTCATCTATGTCGTATGAATGTGCGTTTCTATGGGTATATAAAATCTCACAAGTTATGACCCACACTATAACATGTATTTACAGCACAGTCCCCCTTCTAACCATAAACAGCAATATAAACAAAATAAAAAGTCTCTGCGTATTCTTTCTACAGATGAATTAACTATACTGCACCAGCAATGCAACAGTTCACCTCTTGAGAAATAATTCCTCTCTAACCCCTCCTACTCCTCCCATATTATTTTGGATCCTCAGATATTTTTTGCTAATTAGCAATGTTGGCTATAAAAATATAGTATGCTATGAAATTATTGGCACTTAACCAGTAGTTGTACGTCTGTACGTCCATATTTGTACTTTCTCAATACATTTATGCATACCTCATTTTTTGATTTTTAAAAAACTATATTGGCATATAATTTGGCTTATATAGCTAATACCTGGTCCGTGCTGAACAATAACGCTTTTTAAATGAACTATTTCTGATAATTTGGCTTCAACGAGTAATTTGTGGAAGTACCATTTGTGTGTGTGTGTCTGTGTGACATTTTTGTAACGGACGCACACTGACAAAAGTAAACAGATGTTAAATCTCTAGACAGATGAAATGAGACATTAGTTTACCATTGATGAAAGCAGCAATAGTTTGCCATTGACATTACATGACGAAATGTAGAATGGCGAAGTTAAATAAAGTTTCCTAATAAGTTTTAAATGTAAATATTGTTTATGAAAAGATTTCACTGAAGACAACACAACTTTTTTTTTTACTTTAACTTTCTCAATGATGAATTAACTATTCTTAAAATTAACTAAAGTGATTCCCCTTCTTTCCATAAAGCTAGTTTTCCATTAAGGACTCCCAGATTACTGTGTGGCCATGTTTCATCTTCTGCCTTTGTTAGATTTATTCTGAAGAAGGTTATGAATCGCGTTTATGTCACAGTTCTATAAGTGACTCTTGATGAATACTGACATGTGAAACCCAGTAGAAAGTTCGAATTAGCTCAGCTGTGACACATCAAAGTGCTTAACTCAAAATCAGGATTTTATATAGCCAAATATAAGCTTTGTTTGTTTGTTTGTTTGACTGTGTGTGTGTGCGTGTGTGTGTGTACGCGCGCATGAGTTTGCCCTGTGTGCATACAAATATCATATAAAGGTCAAATGAACATATTTTTGTAATATATTAATGGCAGTACTTTCAGTGATAAAAGGTTTTATTTTCTGAGACCATACTTTGAAATACAAAACACTAGTAACTGTGTTGCAACATTTAACATTTAATAATCCACAAAAATACATTATTTTTCAAAGTTGGATGAGGAAGCTTTTCTGCGTGCATATTTAAAACAACAGGTCATACTACGTTTTACTCAGGCAACGTGTAAAATAGTTTCATGATCTTATAAGCATGGCCAGAATAGGCCTTGAGATGTGTCATATTTGGGAAAAAAAAGTTTTAGTTGAATTTTATTACTTTCTATGTTTAGTCTTTTGTCTTGATTTTTTTTCTCAATTTTTCCTGCCGTACTGTGAATCTTTTGATCATATCAATAATTTTCATCGATCCATCCAAAGTATTACTCATCATGTTGCATTGATTTAGAAGTTCTGAACTAATAAATAAAGAATTATTTTTGTTCCTGAAGATGGCATAAAATGTCATCCAGAACCTGTACAAATCAAACAAAAAATGTATATGTTGTGTTCAATATCTGGCGGTAAACAGATTGGATGTGTCTTTCTGATGTAACAAACGCATAATGTCAGTGTTTGATTGTTTTGAAATATCTTTACAATGTAAATCTAGTTAAGATGTTTGTGTAATCCTGCATGGTTAAGATGTATTTGGTGCAGAATTGTTGGTCTACAGTGGAAGGGGTGTTTATTTATTTATTTTCTTGGATTATTACCACTATTGTTATTTCATTTCATTAGGCAGGTCTGTTGTGCAATGGTCAGAAAATGTCACAATTTTCCCACAGAAAAAAAATATTTACATGTGTCTGAAACATCTATTATTTTGCATACTGAATTTCAACCATAAACGAAATATTTCAGTTGCATCAGATCAAAACGTAAAAAGGGAATCCAGACACATCCCACCAGTCTTTAATGGTCCAGAGGCTGCAAGTGATTTTTCCATTTTTTCCTGCAATGCAGGAATTTAAAATTCAATTAGTCTTATTCATTATTATGTTCTAACATACATGCTATGACATTTCCAGATTTAATAATTCCATGTCTATGTATGATTTTCTTTTTTCCCCTAAGTTTTATATAACAATATATGACTGTCTTCCCCATGGACTATAATGAATGTATTGAATGCATTAAAACATACACAATGGCCGGTGCAAAATTTATTTATATGTATATATGTTTCTTTGACATTGTATTGAAACTTCAAAAGTAATGTTTCATTTTTTCCCATTAATTAATTAATAATTACTGTATATTGTTTCAGGCAAACAAGCAAAGTCAATTGTTCCACAAAAAGTAGTTACTTCAGTATCAGTTATGAATTGGTCTGTTTTTATTATTATCTGTACTATGTCGGTTTCTGTAAGATTTAAACAACTTTATGGGTACATTTTCACGTGAATGATAACTAAAGAAAGGATAACTAAAGAAAGGATAACTAAAGAACAGACTATGTACAGGCTCATCTGCATAACAGAGTATTTATTTGAATTTTGTATGTTTACATTTTAGAGCATTACAATGTTGTGACTGATGTAAGCAAAATATATAAATGGTTCCTTTTTTAGAAAGAAATCTGTGTTGTCGGTTTTTTTCACACAATAAAAATCCCTATACTGTATATACTTGACATATCACCTTTTCACCACTAGTCTGGGTTATTTCCTGGGGTGTGCTGACAGCTGAAGCTCATTGACAGCAGAGTCAGTACAAAAACGGAGAGATGACAGATATCTGTAATGAGGCAATATAAAAAGTAGGTTGTTTGTATATCATGAGGTGTGCTGATGAAAATGTACTCGCAACATCCCATAAACACAAAGTGGAAACCGCTTATATTGATCATGGTTATAGTGATCAACTGCTTATACGGATCAAAAAGTTTGGGACAGAATCATTCCTGTACAAATACTGTTCAGATAATTAACTTATTGTAATCAAGTATTCTGCTTACAGTGTTCATTTTTAAACATGACAACATATGGAAAAAATTAAAACTACATTATTTTGTTTTTACTTTACTTTGATCGCCCTACTTTGCCTTGTCTGCTTCTGACTAGTTACGTGAGGCTAATGCTGCGCTCATAGAAAACACGGCAAGAAAAAGAAAATCATTGACTAATATAGACTCATCAAAACTTATGATAAACTGCCAAAACTGAGCCCACGAGATGCAGCAGCAAAACTACAATATAGGATATTTTATCTACAGTATAATATATTACTGTGTAGGCCTATTTGAATTATACACAGTTCAGTAATTTGAAAAGCGCTTGAAACAGCTGTACTGTATTCTGAATCAATAAAATTCAGTACATAGCAATGCTCTCCATTTTATTACCTTGTATTCATATAATAAATATTCAAATGTCAGTTAGATGGTAATCTGCCTGAGACATAAGTAAAAAGAAAAAAAATCGGTTAGAATTATCGCTATAAGTGTTTTCCCCTGTAAACGACTGGGTTGTTTCAGTTTTTTGGAGATGTTATTACATCCCTCACAAGCTCCACAACAATCATTATGCCCTCCTGACTGAGGCGGTATCCTTTAAGAAATTCAGCGCTCGTTTAATGTCTCTAAGACATTGCGACACGGATTGACAGTAGGCATTTCGCAACTGCTTCTGAATTGGTCTTAGTGACTTAGGAGTCCTCTCAATTACTTTTTAGTTCTCCCAGTCTTAGGTGCTACTTTTATGGCTAAGCGGCTTTGTGAATTGCTCTTAGTCAGAAATTTAGGAGTCCTCTTTTTAGGACTGACACAACCATAATTTTTAGGAGTTTCTCCTACATCGACAAGTTAAGAGCTACTTTTAGCCTTAAGATTCTTTTTCTCTTTTCAACAGGTCATGGAAGCAGATTATCTGTTTTGTTTTTTTCTTTTCTCCCTTTTTTTTTTCTTCTCCTCTCTCTCCCTCTCTCTCTCTTCCCCCCTTCTTCTCCTTTGTTTCCCCCCCCCCTCCCTCTCCTTCTTTTGAGGAAGTAAATAAAAATATAGAATACATAAATAAATAATAAAATAAATAAATAAATACAAATAAAGTAGTCCTCCACAGAGGGGGGATGGAGGAGGGAATAGAGAGAAAAAAAAAAAAAAAAAGATAAGGCTCCTTGGTGAATCTTGATCTCTCTTTTCAGTCATATCTGCTATGAACAGATAGGAAGTTAAAGGTCACCTGAAGGACACGGATGAAGTAACACAAGTGATAAATAAAGTAACACATTAACCAACCATGGTGTCTCACCAAAATCCATTTTCCCCTCTTACAACAGCTACTATTTTTATACATAAACTGAATACAGGAAGGATTTTATTGAAATATTTTTGTTTCTTTCAAATCTAAAACTGCCAGTGTCATCAAGTCAATCTCAGCATCAACTTCAGAGACAAATTGCTTTACACTTACTGTTTCGTCAGGGTGATCTTGAGTGCATGACACCTAGAGAACAGTGCAGGTCTAGTTAATTCACCTATTTGTGTTGGATCACTAAAGAGCTGTAGGTCACTTCATCTCCAGAGTCATTAAGCTGTCGTTCTTTTGACTGTAATGAGCAGAAAAGAAGGACGCTGCTGTGATACATAATTTCCCCAAATACTGTAAATCATATGAAGGACAAACGAAATTGTACTTACAGTCTTCGATGAGCGATTTGCCTTGATTACAGCAGTGCTGTCTGTAACTTCATTATCATGGTGTGTATCCATCTTAGCAAAAATATACAGTCACAGTTCAGAAAACAACACTGTTACAGCCATTGTCATTGACAGCCTTCTTCAGTAATGCTAATGAGTAAAACTGAACAGCAAGCAAAAAGATATCAGATCAGAAGTGATGGCAGTAAAAATAAAAATTAAATAAACTATTTTGAAAAAAAATAGTTGACTATTTTATATACATAGATATAATTGTATATTATTGTAAATAAAACTTTATTGTAATTTATTGTAATTACGTTATTGCAATTTATTGCAATAAAAATGGATTTGTTGACATCCATGTATCACAGTGTGATGTTAACTTACTCTGTTGCTTTTTCTTGTTCTTCTTTCTGTAATAAAGTTAATAGAATCATTCTACACAAATTCACACCAAAAAAAAAAAAAAAAAAGATTCTTTGTGAATACAGGCCCAAGTATAGGTTTAAATTAACGCTATTATTGAGCGTGCAGTGCACTCTGCAATTTACACCAATCAATGCCTTTCGCACAAATCTGATTGGATGTGCGAGTGAATTTTTAAATTAAGCATCTGTGGTTTGGCTTTTTGGACTGGTTGAGTTTTCACTAGTTTTGCACTAAAACTATTGCACTGTATACAGACCCAAGACCCATTTATACAGGTTAATTCTAAATCTGATCATGGATCAGAATAGGAACTTGCTGGTTTTATAATGCTTACATTTCCAACTCTGCCCCGCGACCCTTTCAAAACTTACCATGACTCTAATTTTGGTCGTGACCCATGGGCTGCGAATCTCTGGCATAAGCTGTATCTCTCTTGGGACGTGTTGATGTACCTCTTGGATTCAATCCCTGACCAGCAAGGCACCCCTGAGATACCCTGAGCAATGTAAGGCCCCAAGCCCTGCTCCCCGGGCGCTGAATTAGCTGCCCCCTGCTATGTCACATTGTCACATATGGGTTAAATGCAGAGAATCCATTTCGTTGTTGTGCTGTGTGCTGTGGTGTATCAACAATGACAATTAATCACTAAATTCAAAATTCATTAGTCCCTCCTGCCTGCGGCTGGCTCCAGGCTGCGGACCTTATCAATGGTTCTGCTCTTTTTTCAGATTTTTTGTTTTTATATCGCACATTTGTTGAGAGTTACTCTGCCATGCCAAATGCATGCCCATCAGAAATCTGTCTATATGTACACTACCAGTCAAAAGTTTTTGCACACACTGAGATTCTCTACATTAGCAGGTTACTCACTTAACATTTACTAAAAACAGACTCAGTATATATATAGACATATAATTTTAACAATATTCTGTTCTGTTGCCTAATAAAAAACTTCTTGACATTTTTTTACTCTTGTCTGGTTGGCATTGATGTAATCCAAAAATAATTAAAAGTAATTAGTTGCATTACTTTTATTTTGAGATACTTAGATTACGTTACTGATTGCATTTTTCGACAGGTACCTAGTAACTGTACCGGAACACATTTTTTAAATAACTTACCCAACCCTGTTTATAATGAACTAATTAAGTATGATTGTGCAAACATAGCGATAGTCATAATCGCTGTGTTTTTTTTTAGCCTAGTCCAAATTTAGTAGGAAACAGGCCTTAAATACCAGAGGGAGACTAACTTGCAGAGTCTGTTTCCGCCTTTGCTCTGGTTCGCCACGCACTCAGAATATGTCTCAAATGAATTAGCATGTTGGACTTGTGTCCAGCAGCAGTTCGGTATACTCTCAGAAAAAGGGGTGAAAATTTGTACCTTTGCTTGTCACTGGGACTGTATCCTGAAGGGTCTCCAATTGTACCCTTAGCTGTAGGTAACAATACCTTTTAAGGTACAGAAATGGACTCTGAGGAACATTTCTGTACCATTGATGGTTCATTAATGCTGTTTCTACCTTTGGGATGTTCCTCAGATTCCATAAATTTCTGTACCTTTAAAGGTACCATTACAAAGGTACAGCCCCAGTGACTCCAAAGGTACCAATGTTTACCCTTTTTATGAGTGCATTCAGAAGTCAGTCAGCCAGTCTTAGTCTTATCAACTACTCTCTCTCGCTTTTTGGTGTTGGTGAAATTTAATTGGGAAACCAAAATGCTCCCAAACTGCTGATTATGACTGACTGTAATCAGCTCCATAACCAACTCACAAACCGTATTTGCACACTGTTTTTGGTGTTGAACATCTACTTCTGAATTTAGGTTTCATGCAAAGAAATGCATTGATTCATTAATTGTTCATTAAAGTAACATAATGGATGGCACACGATGAAAACCTAGCATTACATCCCTCATCAGGAAGTACGGATGATCCTGTCTGAACCTGCAAAACACCATTCCTCTTTTTGGCCCTCCTTCCATTGACAAGCTGAATAACAGCGAGTTAAATTCAACAGAGCATTCTAGGTGTTACCTAGTTGTTTTGATTTCTTGGGTCTAAACTCTGCAGCCTACTTCTCATTTAAGGAATGAATCCAGTGGATAATAGTATATGAATGCAGATGAATAACAGTTCATCAGCCCAGTGAATGTGTTTAATATAACTCTGCATCTTCAAAGAGGTTTTTGTACGTCATTGTTAACTTTTATCTGAAAAGAGAATTTTCAGGAATAATGTTCATTACAAATTTCACATTTTTAAATGTTATTCACATATAGTTTGACTTCCTCTGCCAGCCACTGGAGGAAGGGCTCCTCCTTTTAGTCTGGTTCCTCCCAAGGTTTCTTCCTTCTGTGGGGTTTTTCCTTGCCACTGTCGCCTCTGGCTTGCTCACTGGGGACTTTGGGTGATGTAGAGCGCTTTGAGACGATGTAATGCTGTGAAAATGCGCTGCATAAATAAAACTGAACTGAACTGAATAGTAAGATTTCAACCAAATTGCTGCAAAGTTTGGGTCATACTGTTATAAACGAAATATTATGAATTGCAAATTCATTGGTGGTTTTCAACAAGGCCCTTTCAATTACTGAGTTTCACTTCCAGAATCGAAACTTTATGCAGTGTTGTTAGGAAAACTGTAAGTAGGGCAGCTGGGAGTGGCCCTGGACTTGCTGACTATGTGGTGATTCATGGCAGATACACTGGAATTGCTGGTTGAGCACAGGCAGTATGTTTCCAGGGTGCAGTGGGGACTGGTGGAGAGAAGCCAGCAGGGATGGGATCCCAGGCACAAACAGGCACTGCACACTGGTTCTCTTCCTCATTTTGAAAGTGGTTTTAAAAGTTTAAAGTTTAGCATTAGCAATGCATTAGCATTAATGACATCAGACTTTTCATTATGGACTGAGGACTTTTGCACCACTATTTGTGAAATGGTTTCATTTTTTTTTCCTCGTAATAAAATCCTAGGCTGCTAATTGGATCAATTTAGTAGCAGATTTGTAGAGACCGAGCAGCAGATTTAATCTGCATTACAGAAAATCTTATCTATATTTGCCTACTGCAACACCGTTGTTTAGCTTTTCAGTAGGTACAGGTATGTCTTCTGCATATGATAATAAATATAATATTTAAAAAGTAAAAATAATTAAAAGACATTTATTTTGAATTGATCTCTCAGAAGGCTTGATATGCAAATGGTTGGTCACTAAATCTTTTACCTGTTTATTGTCACTTTTAATATGTGTAAAAACTGTATCTATGTAGATTAGCAGTTCTCTACGGACTCTAGATGGTGCTGTGATTTTATTGAATTGTGTGTTAGACCTTAGTAGAAACACCATTTTACCAATAATTATATATATACACTCACCTAAAGGATTATTAGGAACACCATACTAATACGGTGTTTGACCCCCTTTCGCCTTCAGAACTGCCTTAATTCTACGTGGCATTGATTGAACAAG